GGCGGGCGGGAAACAGGGACGGGAGGCGGTATAGTACGCTCCCCGCTCTAGTCGTTAATCGTAAACCAAACACACGTATTGCATTAACTGACACTGCTAGCAGACTGCCTGCGACGAGCGTCAGCCTCTCTTACGCTCCTACCCGAGACAACAACGCAGCGCCAGCGCCAACACAAGCCCACAAGCACATCGGTGAGTGAGCAGGAGGGCTGTATCTATGCAAGCGCACTGTACCACCTGACGTCAGTGTTTCCCGCCTGCCGTTTGAATGTGTCCCCCAGCACTCAGACCCTTCCATTCGCATTTTTGCTATGACGCAGGAAAACGTTATGCTCTCGCTATTTGGGGCTCGATAGGCCTTCGGTCCGGCTACCTTTCCGCGCAGGCGGCGTTCCCATATCATCAACGGTACTCGGTCTAGAGCGAGGTACCTGGTTTTTGAGTACTTACGCCCTGGCTCCTGAGAGGGGTGGGGAGGGCGGGTCGGACCATGTCCGATAGGAAGTACATACCATAGGTAGTCACCACAGGAACGGGCGCGGTCGGCGGCGGCGCTGCAGCCGCACAGCGGGCCCGAGAACGTGTCGGTCGTGATACCCGCCAAAACACCCAAAACACTTTGAGCGCGAGTTGCGCCGGGTTCCCTTCATCGCACAGCCCCCGGGTTTTTTCCATGAGTATCAGCATGAAATAAACTTTCAGAAAAACCTCGCTCTGGCATAGGTAATTTTTTTTGAAACAGCCTAGTGGACGTGGACATTCGGCCCTTTGAAATGGAAAGAATGTGACGGTGTAGCACGGTGCCCACAGCCTACCCGAGTAGGGCAACGACTCCCGGAATCATGAGTACACCTGCCTGGGAATCGTCAGGAGAAAAATAAATCGAAATCAATAGAAATTGCTTGAAATGAGCGGGAAACTAGTGGAACTGGTACAAATTGGTCGAAGTAAGCGTTTTCTACCACTAGAAATCCAGTGGAATGAACATAAGCTGACGGGAATCACCGAGAATCAAGAATTCCGTGAATCGTGAGTACTCACCAAAAGGGAGTTATTGTTATTGTCCCCTCGATCCTACCCTTCTGCTTCGAAACAACAAAGGAAATAATAATTGAAAATTCTAACGCTAACGCGTTAACGGCCCCCTAGATTTTAACTTTAACTTTGGTAGTTAAATTCTAGAATAAAGTACTACAGTAATATAGATGTTAAAATTAATAAATGATGTGGTATCTATTATGAAATAAAATTATTAGATGGTTCATGAACATGTTCGGTTATGAATACAAATATTATATTCGAATGTTGGTAATAGATGTATTCCCTTCCGTGGCGCAGGGTCGTTTTAAGCAGTGCTGGTAGGCGCATCGTTTTTTTGGTAAAAGGCAATGTGCTAAGACTGCGTAGCAGTTTACATTAAGAGATAATATATTTTTCGAATTAAAAATCTTCCAACGGTGAAGTACATTACGAAACACCATAATATGTTCATAACTACTTCGAGAACATATAATCTGTGAAAAAATTGTGGCACAAGTCAGTTCTTATTCAAATTAATCCTATCTGCTTATAAATTCCTAGATGGAAATAACAAAAGAAACAAACCTCTGGAGCCTTTTCAAATTCTTTTCCGTTGTGCCAGTCTCTTTGAGCACGTATTGAAATGCCCCTTGTATTGTCTCTCGCATACAAGTTTCTCTGTCCTGTGAGAAAATATTTCCAAGATCAATAGTGATCAACCTGAACAGCTAGGTAAATACTTCTCTTGTGTGTGAAAGTACATACGTAATGTAGTCCAGAAGAAGGATCGGTTATATCTAAGCCGAACGACGATTTGTCCTGGTGTCTTAGTGCGTTGTGTACTTTGTTGGCTTTCTGAGTTTCAATGGGAAACTCGTTCATCATAAAGTATGCCAAAGCTTGATTTGTGTAGAAAATTTTTCTGTACATGCCGGTCAACCTGAAATTAGGAATAAGTTCTTAAATAAGTGCCGATGTTAACCCACGGGTTTCAACTGCAGTTAGGACTCGGGTGGAAGGATCTTCAGTTAGACTAAAGTCAAGTAACACGAGGGAAAATGCCATTAAACTATATAAATCTATAGTTTAGCTTAACTACAAAAAAAGTGCTGATTTTTCGGGCCCTGCAGTTAAAACTACAGTTTTCTACATTTAAACTGCACTTTTTCTTTAGTATATATGCCATAGCTGGAACACTATAGTTTTAACTCCAGTTTAACTGAGGATCCTTCCACCCGGGGAATCGTGGTATTAAAAAAATAGCAGACGAAAGGACAGAAAACCAGCCTGCGAGGTTGCGGTACTATCAGCTAGAAAAATCGCCACGCCTTGCCAATTTATAACATTTTTTTAATAGTTGTATTTCTTGACCAATCCCACCAATCCCTTATTCTTTGATAATCCTGTGGGGACACTAGTGAAAGGTAGGCAGGTCACCGAGACCTTACAAGACACTAAAGCTCAAAAGATAACATTTCTAAGAAACATTTTCTTCATATGAAATGAAATAAGATTGTAAGACCTATCTTCTTAATCTACGTAAATTCCGCTTCTAACGACATACATGCATGTGACGAAAACTGGCACAAATTGATTGAATTGTGTGCTTTTTTTCACTTGCATCTGCACGGAAAAAAATGAATTGGTCGTCATAACTAAATATTAGTTAATTTCGTGACAATCGATCAAAAAATTGTTGATGTAACTCATGATTTGTTGTCAGGACCAAGATTAAGTTGCCAGAGCCAAGAGTTGGTCGCTAAAACCAAGCACGTTTGCTGCAGGAGCCAATTCGTGGTTTGTTTTTAGAACGAATGCGTTAGCTCAAGCACCGAACAGCTTGTTCTGACAACTTAATCTTGGTTCTGAAAACAAATTATTAGTTACCTCAACAATTTTTTGATCGATCGTCCCGAAATTAACTAATATTTAGTTCTGACGACCAATTCATTTTTTTCCGTGTGCTGACCGCTTACCATAACCCTATCACAGCGGTTCTCTACTTTGGGACCCCATTTGGGGTCGCGGTGAGGTGCCTGGGGTCGCCTAGGATCGCGGCTTGGCAGAAGCGACATTTTCTGACTTGACATACATCAAAAACAAACACAGAAATAGACTCGACGTACAGTATGACCTGCGTGTCGCCGCGCACACAAGTCATTGAAAATAAACAAACACTCCCCCCAAAACATGACTTTCATTTCAAATAAAATATCTGTTTTTTTTCGGGGGGGGGGGGGTCTTGTTGTGGGTTCGCGTGGGGTCGCGCCCGTGAGTCGCGCGGGGACACGGAAATCCTTCTGTGCATGGGGTCGCGAAAATTTTGGTCAGCCAATTTGGTGTCGCGAGCGCCGGAAAAGGTTGAGAACCGGTGCCCCATCACAAGTGGGCTCGTTCGACAAGGAATTTTACGAGAGGAACATTGTGAAAGATATATTATGATTTCAATTTCACGATACGAAGCAACTATGAAATCACAACACTTCTTTGTATTTAAAAATAATGTATTCTACTATCTTACTTGGAAATAGTTGTAAACCAATCGTAATAATTTCTGAAGTTATCAATTTTTGACAAAGGAGGGGAGTTGTGATTTCACAAAGAGTCCTGGCAACTTTTTTCACAACGAATTCTTCGTTCAGTGTGACTTTTTAAACTAACCCGTTTCTACCAAGTGAAATAGGCTTGAACTTCGGCGCGGTGAACTCTAGTGTACTTCGGTGAACTCTAGTGAACTTCGGGAACTTCGGTGAACTTAGCTAAACTGCTACATATTTTCTCGAACTTCGAACTGATCAAGCTATGAAAGCAAAATTCTCGCTCCGTAACCTTTGTAATTCGATCCGTTAATATCTGCTTTGAGTAAGCTGGCGACTCGGTTGTAGTAAGCACTCAAAATCACCAATTTCAGGCTTAAATATGTACTAATTTATTTTCAACTTCAGTGAACTTTAACGATTTATTTTGAACTTCAGGTGAACTTCGACATTTATTTTGAACTTTGGGCAACTTTATAGCATTTTATTTTGAACTTCGGTGAACTCCGTGAACTTCGATAAATTTTGTTGAACTTCGATGAATTTCAGTGAACTTCGATCGAATTTTACAAAGCGAACTTTAGTGAACTTCGACTTCGGGTGTACGATTTTTGGAGCCTATTTCACCTTGGTTTCTACCAAACACCGTGGCGTAGGGGGGGAGGAGCGTGATCGTTCAACACCACCTGTTGAATTTCGAACCGCGACTTGGTAACAGCCCAACAATAAACACCTTGCTCTGAGTAGTCTGTTCCGAGCACGCGTGCCGCCCTCGTGAAAAATACTGTAAAATTTAAAGCTACGAGGGGTGCCTAACTCCATAAAAATGTGTACACCGGATTACCAAATTGTAAAGATTACCAATGATTACCAAGGATTACCAAAGATTACCTATGTACACTAGGTATGGTCCACCTGCTTTCCGAATCGAAACGGCCATTTTTTGTCCTGAGAAAGATGCATTTTCGTGCAACTCTTTGGTAGTTCTTTAGTCTTTATCATGCAATTTACAAATATGTATGCCATGACTGGCCACATCATGCTTTTGTCTATGGGAGGGATGCAAAGTTACCATATTAAACATGCGCGTTGGCATTTAGGCAAGATGTGCACAAAATTTCATGTCTAAATCAACAAATTTGTCCTTTTAAAGGACCCTCACGAGTTTGAGGATTACCAGTGATTACCAATGATTACCAGTGATTACCAGTGATTACCAAGTCTGTGTACACCTGATTACCACAGTTGGGCGCCCCTCGTAAAAGTATGAGTCTATAATGTTCAAACACACTACGCGCCGCCCACGTGAATAATTGTGTGCAGTTATAAAGCAAGAGGCCCCTCATGAACAAAGACATCACGCTAAAAGACATATCAACAATTTAAAGAATGCTTTACGTGCCTTTAAAGTTCCTATAACACCTAAAGCGATTAAATCTCCCCAACCTTGGGTTCGTTTCACAGTTAACAAAAATTGTGAACGTTTTTAAAACAGCGAATGCGATAATGTGTTCTGTTCCAAAATTTGATTGGTGTGCTCATATTGATAGTGTCTAAACAAACCCGCTAAATTAACACACTAAATCTGAAAAGGCTTTTATTGTCCATAGAAGAGTGCCTTTTTGTACACACCTCAACCGGATGTAAATTTGAATCTGATCAGGGATAATGTGCATTCCACTGATAAACAAAAAAAAAATAAAAAAGTCTATTAATAGGATGCTAACTTGTCCATTGCCAGATTCAAATTTGCATCCGGTTCAGATAAGCACAAAAACGTACCACTCTATGGGATTTAAAAGTCCTTCCAGATTTAGTGTGTATGCTCTGTAACACCCCTAAAGCGCGTTTCGCACTCCTGGAACAGGCTATCGCACCTCTGTTTTTTTCAGGGTGTGGTTATGCCATGCAGCATTTTCCGTATGCGTTTTTCCGGTTTCTCTACAACAGTGGACCTTTCAGATCTGAATATTTCAAGTATCTACTCAACCCGCATGGAAATAACTACCCTAAAATAAGACTGGGCAAGGTGTTCAAAAAGTATACTTAAAGTATACTTATATTAAACAAAAAGTGTGTCTAAAGTGCCAGCCATGTGTAGCGTTCCAATCTGCTAGAATTTAAGTATACTTTATGTATACTTTTTTGAAAGTACACATAAAAGTGTTATTTCCTTATACTTATTTCCATGCTTAAGCTCGTCATCTTCTAGAGGAACATACAGACCCACGCAGCACGCGGGTCGTGTGCATATTAGGCGAGGGAGATAGCATTTCTGTGGAAAAGTGTCTACATATGAATGCGTTAATAGTAAATACTTGCCTACATGATTATGTTGGCAACAAATAGTGTGTACATGATCAAGTATGCAGCAAATACTGCATACTTGGCCATGTACACACGTAGAACTCTATGCTAAAAGCTATGTGCCGAAGTGTGTACTTGGCCATGTGTATGCAGTATGCAGTATTTGCTGCATACATGGTCTTGTACACACTATTTGCCGCATACTTAATCATGTACGCACTATTTGCTGCATACATGTAGGTATTCAGCAAATAACGCATATATGTACACACTTAGGTTTCCAGAGTTGAGTTCGTAGCGTACGGGTTCCTGGTATTTGAATTGCAATTTCGATTATTTCACAGTTATTTCGGATTATTTCAGGGTATTTCACAATATTTCACAGGATTTCAGGATTATTTCGCGACTATTTTAGCACCTATTTTGAGTCTATTTCGAACTATTTCGCAAGTGATTTCCCCCTCGATACTAGTCCCGCAGGCTCAGATTCGGCCACCGTGCTGCCGGGCAATCGCCCGGTAGGCCCTCGGCCTAGCGAGGCCCTCTTAGCCTCGCATAGCGAGGCCTCTGGCTCTGGTACATGGCTGCTACAATTCTGGAAAACCTTGAAAACCCAGGGAAATGAAAAACCGGTCAGAGAAATCAGGGAAAGCTCGGGAAAAACGAAAAAAGTCAGGGAAATTTGTTCCGATCGGTCCCCACAACGCTTTCTATTCGCTGTGTAGGTCAAAATCACATTTTGACGTCCCAGCAGGGTGTTTCCACCCCAAAATTTTCGCGCTCCCCACGCTCGCGGTCCTGTTTTCCAGTCAGGCTACGAGCGCCGGCAAGCACGCGTAAATGCTTGGATGCGTTTTCCAGTCCGTCCCTGGTCCCGATAAGCCCGCTCCCGCTACAGCTTTCTTGAAGCAGAAGGGCGGGATCAGAAAAGGACGGCTAAGAATACAGACCCTGTACCGGGTGGTACAAAACAGACACAAAACTTTCATCTACAACAGCATAACAGCATTAGTTAGATATTTAACCTACTGAACGTCGTCTCGTACACCTGACAATATCTAACACCACAGTCAGAGCCTCGGAGTGTGTCGTTACTTTTACTCCTGTATTTTGTTGTTATACATAGCATATGCAATGCATTACCTAGGCTTTTGGCCACTGAGCCGCAGTATGCAATCTATGGCCAGGCCGTAGGATACCTGGCTAAGCATTGTCCCCAGCCAATAATAGACGTAGCATCTGCCTATATGATATCGGGGATATCTTATGGCATTAGGGGCGTATTTTAAGACGGATGGCAAGGTATCACGTTGCAGACCATAGGTCGATCTGTCGTAGCCGGAACCTTCTAAGTGGACCACATCCACCTCTTCGGCATTTGTTCTGTTGAGGCAAAATTTAAGTACAATAAATACATCACACACAAGTTACACTGCAAGACACTTATACGATGTCTCGTTTTGTCTCTCACTCTAGGGCCGGCGCGCGAGTCGCCTTGGCGACAGCCAGAATGATCATGGCCCGAATTGCCCAGTCCACAGGGGTGTAAGACAACGCCACTTTTGGGTCCCCCCACGAGAACCTCAACACGCCTTTACATGCTCCGATCCAGATACCGAACGGACCGTTCATATTGTCCAGCCAGCCTGGAATAGGCTCCTGCAAACTGCTGATCACTAAAAAAAAAGAAGAAAATCAGGCAATTCCAAAAAATATTTTTCGCTCTGTGGTTTGCGCGACTCTTCTGAATGTCTGCGACGCGCGTTGGGTTGTCTACCATTCCGGCGCCTCGGGACGAAGCCACTCACCTACTGCAGGTCGGTAAATCATGACAGGAATGTCGTTCCGGGCGTCGTTGATGACGTTCTCAGCCAAGGCTTTGGTGAGGGTGTAGGTGTTGGGTTGGTAATCGAGGACCCTGCAACAATCGGTCAGAACAGTGCGCCAACGCATAGGGGGGGGGGGGGGGCTATGGTCACTTACTTATGCGTCACTGCATCCAGGACGCCCTTGTCCTCCGTCTCGGCAATGCGAATCATGGTGCGCCAGTCCAGGTGGGCCCGGTAGGCGCGCTCCTTGAGGACAGGCTCCTTGGTGAAGCAGTAGGTCGTGGACACGTACTGCAGCACCTGAAGGCGAGGCATCCTCTTGCAGAGCTCGACCACCTCGCGGGTGCCGCGCGTGTTGAGCAGAATGGCGGACTGCAGCGGGTCGTCAAAGCGCACCGTGGCCGCGGCGTGGAACACGTACGATACGTTGTCCACGAGCAGGGCCTCGTCGTCGGCGCTCAGCCCCAGGCGCAGCTGGCTGCAGTCCCCCGCCACCGCGCGCAGCTTGGCCGTGGCCGAGGGCCGCTCGCTCAGCAAAGGGCCGAACAGCTGTATGAGCACAAGACGGAGAATGAAAACATAAGCTGTCCAGGGATGGGCCTTGTTTCTATGAAAGATTGTCTCCAAATTCTCATGGCCGTGGTAGTGCAATGAAGCCTGTATTCGTTTCCCTAGGTGGGCGTTGTTTTGGAGTCTTTCAAGTAAGCTTCAGGCGTATATGTAGGTCATAACAACAAGCGCCACGAACGCCTCTGGAGGCCAAGACTACGAGAAGAGCACTGAGGTGATTTTGCCAGGCCGGCAATGTGCTTCAATGTATTATGTTTTGCAACATGGGGAGAGTAAATTTAGTGACTTTTGGCTCAGTTTAGGATGGGTTAACTTACTATCAGTCCGCCGAGAGATCGCATGAGGGACGGAGAAGGGGATGAAGTCAGCCCAATGAGTGCTAGAATTTTGGGGTTGTGACTCTCTTCTTATTCTTTTCAACTTATCTTGAATGCGGTTCTTGGTTTCTCGAGTTAGATTGGTGCTTACCGGCCCTGGCCCTGACCGGCAGATCGGATCGGCCCGCTCGGGCCCTCATGCCGAGTTTACGATGGAGCTTTTTCGGAACAGAACGAAATTTGTGCGGAACGGAACGAATCCCGTTTGCTTGTTCCTTACGGACGTGTTTATGATACCGTTTTGACCAGGGCTGGAAAATCGGAATTGAATTAATCGAAAAGGAGCGACACTGCATAGTTCCGTTCCATCGGAACTATTCCAAGGAACAAAACGATAAGGAACGAAACTAAACCAAGAACAAAACCTCAGCGAACAAAACTGAGAAAAACTCGGAGGAGTAAAACTGCGTTTCGATTCGATCATTTTTGTTCGTAAGAGTAAAACATAGTTCCTTTCTTTTGGTGACGTCATTG